TTTAATATTGTTTTATATATATATACACAGACACACACACAAAAATGATCAATAGATTAATTTTATGCATCGAACTAAAGATAATATTATTTATCTGACGTGTTTGTTAATCAGAGTTATTAATAAACGTTCAATCAATTAATTAAAATGTCAATGTTGTTTTGTGGTAAACTTGCTGAATTATTAATTGAAATATTTTCTTTTCTTATTTTTTTCAATTCGAATTTTTTCACGTTCAACTTTGTTACTTTTTTGTTCTTTTTTTTTCTTTCTTCTTCTTCTTCTACTTCTACTTCTTTTCGTTCGAATCAAAAACAAAAATCTAAATCAAATTACATATTAAAATTTCAATTAATTTTGAAATTGTGTGTGCGTGTGTATGATATATAATATAACGCGATAAATGAACCAAAAAAAAAAACAACAATTGACACGTGTATACAATACCGATGATAAACTTTGATAATAATTCTAAATTACCTGTTGATAATAATCAGGCACTTGATGGGGAAATTCGAAAATTGTTTCGAAAGGGTTGACGATGTACCAAAATTTGCCGGCATTTTTAATTTGACCGACAATGTCAATGGAAGATGTTTCATTCATAATATATTGTCCAATATTATTATTATTATTATTATTATTTCTTCCAACGCGCGACCACTTCTTATTTTTGATTAATTATCTATAAAAGAAAAAAGAGAAGAAAAAAAAAACAGAAAACGAAGAAAACAACAACAACAACAACAACAACAAAATTAAATAAAATTAAATAAAATTAAATAAATGTAGGATAATCAAGTTTATAAGAGTAAACCGATATTAACTATGCCGAATGCACTATCGAATACAGAATACGTAGTCGTTGAGAACTGGGTGCACGCATCGTTTATATAACTTGGAATGAGTGTGAGAATGCACGAATATACACACGCCACACACACACACACACAGACATATATATTTTCTGCATGACCGTATAAGCTGCAGGTACTTTATACATACATACATACATACATATATATATGTTCATACATTATAAATAATCAATTATCCAGCTTTCACAAAAATCATTTTCACTTGATATTATAATTATCCAATTGTACGATTTTCATTAATTTTTCTTATTTTTATAATTTTAAATCATATATTAAAAATTATCATACTTAATAAAAAAAGTAATTAAATAATGTTTCTATATATATAAACAAATCATAATAATTTGTTTGTAATACAAATTAGAAAAATAAAACAACATTAATGTTTTTTTTTTTTCTTTCTAATGTACTAATCTTTACATACTTGATTTACTCGTATATATTACAATTTATTTAACTTACATAAATATATATATATATGTGTATACAAAACAAGGAGACGAAGTGATAGGTGTAAACGTATCAATGTTCTGGTACACCACTGTTATATGTGCTCAAGCAATATGCTTGACACTTTATGCTGGCGACATTATATGCAAGGTTTCATAACGCGTATTAACTATTTATATTACGATAGATAAACGACATTATATTGCTATCCAATGCTTTTCATTTTATTCCAATAATATTTCTTTAATTTTTTTTTTTTTTTTCCACTAATTCACCAATACTTTTTATCCAAATTACATATTAACTATAACCAGTCTTAAAAAGGAGACATATTTGTATTTTGTTTGTACATTTCAAAAAATACAAAATGAAAAGATAATAGTACAAACATACAGACAGACAGACAGACAAACAGATAGACAGAAAGAAAAGAAAGAAAGAAAAAAAAAAAAACATAATGATTTAATGGCATGATAAACTCTAAAATCAACTCCAAAGCTCAAACAAGATAAGAATAACCATACGCGTAACAATTACGAATTATATAACATTATGTGGAATATATGTGTACCATTTGGAAAAAAAAAAAACAAAAAATGAAATTAATATTAAATATATTATGACAATGTATATATTTAGTATATGACAATAATTTGATTTATTTGTATACAAAAAAAAAATAAATAAATAAAATATACATTTATTATACGAACGGTTATCTGGTTTCTTTTTATTATTTTTGTTATTGTTACGAAAACAAACACATATCGAAAAATTTAAAATATAATAATTGTAATGAATTATAACGTGTGTCAAATTTACGCGTTTTATTTAAATACAATTCTTAAAAATTAACTGAAAAACATAAGTCCTCCCCCCGTTCATCACTGGGAGCGGGGAGGGGAGGGGGAGGGGAAGGAATTATCTGGTAAATTAATTTTTATTTATGCATACGTATACTTTGAAACGTATCTTACGTAGCCAAGAACAAGCGTATCTTTTACATGAGATAAGCGTTTCAAATGAGAAAATTTATAGCATTGTTAATCTTTATTTTTACATACGTTCACATAATGCGAATTATTTTTATACGTCCAGGGTACAATAATAATTTTTAACGATTATATAAATTGATTAGCGAAATGAAATTATTTTTTTCTAATCGATTTAAATTCGTCAATTTAATACGCGGTACTACGTTAATAAATATAACAAAATATACGAACACATCACATATTTGTCGAATTGATTTTTCTTTTTTTTT